AAACAGGTACCCAGCGGGCCTTGCACATTCAACAGTAGACATTCTCCTACAGGCAGTCTCTTTGAACTTTATGATCTGTTTTTGATCCGGCAATAATTTACTCTCGCTCCCGAAAGTTTATATACACTTCCAATGTTGTTGCTTCCTCAAACTGAAATGAGCCTAGTGTACTATGTGCAGCCAATGTAATTCAAAAAGTTGTGAATTGAGCTCACAATAAATTGTGCAACTGCCCCGTTATCATTTAGCAGTGAGTCCTTGACAGCAGAGAGCCCATTTTCAATCCAAACACAAAAAAAGTGACATTCAAGTTAATCCAGCAGTAGTCATTACCTCTCTAAAGTGAGAAAAAAATATCTTTTAAAAAATCCCTTAACACCCCTGTCAGTTTTCGTAAATGAAGTGCTGAAGTTCTTTGCAATTGCTTATTATAAAATGAGGCTCCTTTTTTAAATCAAAAAAGGAAACTGTAATATTTCATAATATAAAGATAATTTAAACTGTAATATTTCATTATATAAAGATAATTTTAACTGTAATATTTTATTATATAAAGATAATTTAAACTGTAATATTTCATTATATAAAGATAATTTTAACTGTAATATTTCATTATATAAAGATAATTTAAGAAGTTACTTTGGGTAAAATCGACACTAAGACTATCACAAGGTCATAAAGAGGTCTTCACTAAAAGAGAAAGAGTAAAATTACAAAATCCTTAGAACACCAAGTATTGAAAGCAATATTTTTTCAGTAGTAAGTGGGAGGACAAAAAAAACAATTATTTTCATTTTCAAAGCAGAATTTCTCATCTTTTGCAAAAAGCCAAGATAATAACATTACAACCAAGCTGATTTTACAACTGGAAATTAATGGGTTAGACAAATGACACACAGACAAGAATTGAACAATCATAACATTGTGGTAACGATATCACTGCCCTAATAATGATGCAAAAGTAACTAGCAAAGACTTAAGAACGCTGAGAAAATTGGCAAGAGATCACAAAAGAAGAGTTAATTTTGTTTATAAATCTTATCCTGTGAATTTTAAGTTTGCTGTACCTGGTCTAACAGGCATGTAATAGGAAATTGTTTACATAAGCTGTGAGCAACAAAAGTTTGCAAGGACAAACAGAACCACATTTCCTTCTAACAAGTATTATTTATGTTCATCCATGAGAAGAGCTTAAAACAATAGAAATTTATTGATAAATATGACACTTGATAGCTTCAAACTCAGCAGCCCATACATACAAGGCTTTCTAAATGGACATGTAGCTGCAAATAAGACCAAGATATGAAATGCTACATTCCATTATAACAGAAATTTGAATACTTTTAAATTAATTTGAACAACAGCCCAAATCAGGATACCTGACCGGAATCAGCAGTACCCAGGAAATGTTTTTGAACATTTTTTTAGAAGGAATGTTACAATTTTTTGTAAATAGAAATACTTAGAAATACCACAGCAGCATAGTGTCCATAGTCCTAAGTTATTGCTACTTGTGTACTTTGATATATCAGCTTTCAAAACTCACCAAATGCAACAAAACACATAAAGTAAAGTGTAGATTTTCCAAATATTGGCCACCCGATAATGTTTTCAAAACTGCCATAGTCTTTTTTAACAAAAAGTATTCATGTAGCATTGCGGAACATTGGTAAACAATCACTTTAATATAATTCTGATCTCTGTAGCACAGTCCAAGTAAAAAGTAGATATGTACTGTACTTGTAATGAACAGATTGAAATAGTGAAAACTAACATGTATAGCACAGCCTGCTAACTTATTCCTGAAAGTGACTGCCATTTGTCTGACATGGAGGGAGGGGGTGGGATGTGCATTGAGAAACAAATACAGATAATTAAGTTGCTTGACAATCTGATTACATATGATCTCATAAAGTTATCCATAACATGACCTTTATGGACCTTTGTCAGAAATGGTGGTTATGAAGATGAATGAAAAGTTATTTTATTTCAAGTAAAATCCTGGTGGAGCCAGGTTTAAAACTAGTAATAAGATAGCAAAATGCATAAAAATTATTATCTGTCAACTTCGGATAAAAATCAAAGCGATGAACAAAGTCAGTAGTGTGGTAACTATTCAAACCACTGCATTATTATAACAGACTGACAGAGAGTTCCAAAACCATTATTTTCATATCACATTTATTATAACAGACTGACAGAGAGATCCAAAACCATTATTTTCATAGCACATTCAATCACAAACGTTTCTCATGTATTAATTTTGCTCTTCATTATCCAAAGGCATCAAATTCACTAAATTCTTGAGGCAGGAGGTTAAAGTTAAATACTGAACTTTCATGCTCCACTTGTAAGGGTAAAGACTTCTCTGCACTTTGATATCTCTGCCAGTGATAAAGAGAAATTAAACAGTACAGACAGTATATTTCAAACATAACTCACATAATCATGAAATGCTTTAGCTTCACTACTGTGATCACAGGTTTCTCTCCTTTCTGGAGCTGCACAATATAAATCCCAGAAAACACTGAAATAAAAACATGTATAAAATCAATGTTTATGCTCCTAGTATTCTGAAAATAAAATATTGAAATAAAGTTAAAGGCTGGTAATTTTTCATTTCTTCAAAATTCTCACTGGTGAAATTTCCGGTTAAATCCATATTAAAGTTAAAAACAAGATAGATACAAAAATTAGACCAAAGTAGTAATAGTATCCTATATTCTTAGAAAGTATCAAGTCTTAAGAGAATAAGTTTTATTTAAAGTTTGTATATTTATATACTTACCACCACCATGAGTGAAGAAACCCTGGTGGTTCTCCTAATGTTATGTTTTTCTCCCATCTGATCTGTATATATATGACACAAATACATTAATTTTAAAATAACCACCGATGGAAAGAATTCCATCACTGGGTGAAATATTTCATAGTTAAAAGTGGTAACCTTGGGTAATATTTGTGGGCCTATGACTATGTCCATTTATGATACTTGAAGATGTTAATAATTGAAAATATTCAGCTTTTCCTTAAAATAAATATTTATGATTATGCCATAAATGAAATGTTCAAATTGACCTCTTTTTTTAAATTAAAGATATCAATCAATTTAACCAATATATCACTCAGGACTTGGACATGGGGCATAAAATACATGCCAAAATTAAATTAATGTGACAGGCAACTAATAATAATAAACCTTGATTTAGGGCATCCTCTGGTGATGATTAATAAATAATGGATATCTTTTCATTTACCATTAACTAAAGAAACTTCACTGTGTACTGAAAATGTTCACTACTAAGAATAAGAGTCAACAACCTCCACTAAGTTTTTTTGTGAGTGACTTTGACATCTAGAAAAACTAACACTTACTTCTGATAAGAAAGTCTGTGCTGATTTCTGTGCTCCAACATGGAGTAAATATTCATAGACGTAAAGAGCAAGTCTGCAATTAAATTCATAATCTTAATACGATCAAAAAAGTATTAAATAAATGCACGTTTTAAACTTTAACTGTGTTTAACTTAAAATATGGTTACTTATTGTACCAATCAGCTGTTTCATGATAGGTAATAAGGACTAAGGGACACCACTCGTAATGTTTAACTGGACCCGGTTCACTGACTTAATGGCAGCCATACTTTAAGAGCATGATTTGTTTATTGTGTGTTTACGTCAAGAGATAAACTAGCTCAACAAATGTAAAAAATAAGGAATGCGGTAAAACATTTAGGACTTTCAATAATTATTTTAAAAAATAATTTCTAACACCTTGATGGTAAAAAAGACAATATAGTAACCGTAATAACTATTTCGGGAAGTATGTTTAATAACTGGAACAGCTATTATATTCTCAATGTTTGAATGGGGCATCCTCGTGTGCAGGTGGAATAGTTGAGTGTACGAACAAAGAGATCCATGTATCTTCATAATATAGGGTGTCGGTTTGAAGTAACAGAAATGCAACTGACTTAAATTAGTATAAAAGCATAATTTACTTACTTTTCTCTTGCTTGAGCATCCGAGGGGACAGTAGAACCTTTCCCTTTGGCGTACATGCTGAGAGCTGAACTGTCACGCACCTGTCAAGCCATCAAGGACGACACTGACCCCGTTGTCTTGCCAACATCAACTAGACCTGTCAGTCGGTGTGTCTGATTGGTCGACGAAAATAGCTCAATTGGTGTGCTGCAACACCGATTCCCAGCTAGCCTCGCACAGTTCGGCGACAAAGACGCGTTGGCGACTTGCCAGTTATCTAGTTTGATCGGATCCAAGTAAAATTTTTAGCTCCCCGCTGATTGTTTATGATCGCTCTTATAATTTATAAATAACAGTATATTTTCTTTAAAAAACTAGTTTAAAATTATTTCTATTAACTATTATTTATATATAAATAAAATAACTAATAAAACTTAGTATTTCGACAAATTAAATGTGTCTTATTTTTCGTATATTGCCCTGTTCCCATTCAAAATTAATTGGCGAACTCTTTATATTTGAAGCAGAAAACAAATCTACCAATATCTATTTTTTATATTAAAATCTTACATTAATTTAAAATATTAAGATTTAAATATCATTACTCCTATTACGAACAATATGGCTGTTTTATTTGTTATTATGCAGATCATTATTGGCTTAAATGATTATTGTCCGAAGAATAAACGTAGGAAATATTAGTTCTGTGGCATCGGGGCCCGGTGAAATTTATAGTCTAATTGTTGCAATTTTCATCAGTAAGAGCACTGCATCTCTTAATTTATTTTGTAGTCGTGTCTCTTCGATTAAAACAACAACACAACCAACAACATTTGCTAGAGGTGCAGATTTCAATAATACACTTAAACATAGCTATGACCTATATTCCTCGAGATTTTGCTCAATAGTTTCTGGAGTGCTGCGAGACTGGTCGATGATGGGCGAGTCTATTACTTGGGGTATATCTATTTTTTCCCCCCATTTTACTGTTTCCTCTTTTCCTCTTTTTTTTTTCTTTCTGGATTTCGGGTCTTTTTATTTTTTATTTAAAAACTACATTTTTAAGAGTAGGAAATACCTTAAATAAGATAAATCATTGGTCTGATTTACACATGAAAATATTTTAAAAGTATTTGTTCGTCCCTATTTTTTTTTGTTCGTAAAGATGCGAACGTTATTTGAGCATCTTGTTTATACTTTGTCCATCATAAGTGTCTATGATTTTCTACTTGGGTTGAGAACACTTTTAATACCAGTACAACGGTAAGCGGGACTGAAATGACTCTACGATACCAAGTCACAAGTGGATGATCAGGTCTTGAATCCTTCTGGGGATGACGACTGGTTCGATTTCTTTTGACGAGTTCCGAAGTCTGGTTGAAAAATTTGTCGATACATCCAACAAAATCGATGACAAATGGCATTTGGAATCTGGGCTCGTAAGTGATTCAAACAAGATGAAACTCAAGGGTTTATTTTTGAAGTTTTCTTTCACACCAATGTAATGTATTTGACAAATGAATATCTAAAATGAAATGAATTTACGTTTTAAAAAAATGAATGTTATCATAAGTATTTTTGTTTTCTAAAAAAGTGTTATGCATAAAGTAAAGATAACGATGGGAACGATTAAAAAGACATGTCAGATATCTTTACGAAATTACCGCTTAAAAAACATGTACATTTAATGTTATTAATTTAATCATTTACATTTTTGAAAATAAATTTTAACGCAGTTATTGAGGTATTCGCGTCATTAGCGAACAGAATCAGAAAGGGGAGTCGCGAGAAGTTGATCACGGAAGCCCCCTAACCATTAGTAAATAATTAAAATATGACCTACTAATAAAGAAACATAACTCTGAAATTTAAATTTACTTGTTGCTTGTAGTATTATACGCCCTTTATGTCATGATATCTCAACATAAATAACATTTTAATAATTTTTTAATTAAACAAATATTATTATTTTACCTTTTTCTATAAAATAGTTTTTAGGTTATTTATAATATAATGAATTCAGTCTTTTAACTTAAGTATTAAACATAAAAAAAAGCTAAAATATTGTGAAGAACATAAAATTGAAATAATAAAATTATAATTAGAATATTACAATATTAGGAAATTCATTTTGATATTGTTTTACTTGGACATTATCTGAGAAATTCTAAAATGTATAATACACTAAAAATTTAAAGTCTTCTTTCTTTATTTCACAGGACACATTATATATGTGCAAGAAATGTACTATTACACAAATTGATGTATCATTGCCCAAGGGATCACAATATATTTTTAAGACCCCAGCAGTCAACAAAATGTTACCAACATTTCCTCAATCACTGTCAGTACCACAGCTACCTACTGGAGTACAGATAACTACCTTTACGCAGGATTCAGAGGATGACATTTCATTATCTGAAATGGAATTGGAGGATGAAGTTAATACTATTACAAATTTTAAATTTAATTTACATACTCTTTATTTATGCACAAACAGATGCAGATATGTTCTTCCACTGTTTGTAATTACATTAATGCTGAAGTAGATCTCTTGGTACAATACCACATCTTGTGCCCCGTTGATAATTTTAAAAAAAAAATAAACTTGTGAAAATTTCTTCTGAATTCAACCATTCTTTATTGCCAAAGAAAATTTCATTGCCTGTGTATTTAAATAATTTGATTAGATTGATATACAATTAATAAATCAAGCTGTAAGTTGTTATATAAAAGAATTCATTATTTTGTTTCATTTTTTATAAGGAACATTATTTTCTAATCTTCAATATATTTTTTTTAACAGGATGATATAAGTTGCATGCCAGCAGGTGAAATGAACAATCCTCTAACATACGAGTATCACATTTTATACAGTGAAAGTTATTGTGTTCCTGTGCTATATTTCATTGTTTTTAGAGCAGGTCTGGTTTAATACTCTCCATCATGACCCTTAATAATTCATAATATGGTTAAAGAGAATTTTATACTGCATTCTGTTAATTATTTATTATATTTCAAATTTTGAAAAATTCTCATTCTATAATTAATTTTTTTTTAACATTTAAAGATTTCAAATAAATAATATTAACTAAGAGTTTCTTTAAAGTTAATACACTGTTTTTGAAAAAGTTCACAAAAACTCTTTTGTTGCTGGTGTTCCAGATGGTAAATTGTTGTCCTTAGAAGAGGTCTGGAAATTATGCCCATCTAGCTATCAAAAATTATTGACAGAAAACAAATGGGCTACTTTAACACAGATGGTTAGTGAAATTTTGAAAAATATCATTTGATATGCATGTCATGTTAGTACTTAAAATATACTTTTTATTTCTTGCACAGAAATAATTTACTAATTTTTAACTTACGAATGCATGTTAGGCTCTTTCTATATCTAAATAACAGAAGTCCAATATTTTATATTAATTGCCAAATAAATCTGGATCTATAATAACAAAATGAAAGAAAAAAATATTGAAATTAATTATGGTGAAAAAGAAATTCTATACCAAATGATGAGACAAATTGGCAGAATCATTGTGCAAGTGAATATGATGATAGAGTTAATACTTTTTTTTTCTTCAATAGTGTAATGTATTTTTTTAAAGACTTGAAATAAGATTAAATCTTTTAAAATATAGAGGAACAGTTTTTTCTTGTTGTGTTCTAAGTGATACAGACATTTAAAATGATGTTTTAAAATTTAATTTCCCTCTCTATAGTTCTTTTACTTTTAGTGAATATAATCTAGAAAACTTAAGTATTTTTATTAATCTGCTCCCTTTTTTTAGTGTGCCAGTTTTTTCAGTTTTGATTATTGTTCTAGGAACACCCCATCCTTGGAAGGCCCTATTTACAGCTTCACCCATGTCACACTGCTGACCTCATGACACAGATTATGTCACATTCTAAGCACTATAATAAAAAGTGAGTTCCATATGTCTTTATTTTTTAAATTTTATCAAATTTTTCACTTAATATTACCATTACCATTTTAATATTTAAAAAAAAAAAACATCTGTATAAAATATAGTCTATATTATTAACTATATTGCCCCCAAAAAAATAATACGTACAAAAAATAATTTTAAGGCTCCAAGAAATGGTTGAAAATTAATATAAAACAGTGTAAAAAATTTTTTATAAAATAAATGAAAAACTAGTTTCCATAAGCATTTTGTTCTCTCCATAATAATTCTGTTTATGATAATGTCACACCAACTAAAATGCAATAACAATGCATGGCAAAACGGAAGAATCTCTGAAGTTAGTGATTATCAAACATGTTTCCATCAATGTAATCTCATGTCTGTGAAAGTGAATTTAGTGGACCATTTGAAATATGCCATTATACCTATTATAAGGGGGATGGTCTTTGTACTGACTTTTTCATCAGTTAAGAGTGTTGCCACTGTCATTTGAAGTAAAGAATTCTTATCCAAAATAAATGATAACAGCATATTAAGCAATTAGGATAATATTTGATTATGTATCTGAAATACTTTTATAATTATAACTGATTATTTTAAAATTAACATGCCAGGTATTTTGCATGATCTGTTTCAGAAATTATCTGGTAACATGGCTGAGTACAGTAGGACCTTTAGTTGGGCTTCAGATATCACCTTCATACATGATAAGTTAATTAAATAATACTGGAAATTTAAAAAAAATTCTCATGACCAAAAAAAGGCACCACTGTTATCAATACCCCAATTTGTTTTTTATTTACATTTTTCATATCTTTGTTGTAATTAAATTCATATAATATCTAATTTTTCATGAGTTTGGTATTTATTTTGAAAACCTTTTAAGAAAATATGAAGTGCTGCCTGTCCTTCAGAATACTCACGAGTTCAGATTCCTGACTGACTTTAAATCCAGGCATTCCATTCATAACCTAACATCAGATAGAGTTATAAGATCTATACATATTGACACCCTAGAAACAATAGTAGGATACTTTGTGAGGGAGACCCAAGACCCACAACCAATGGGCACTCTCTACAACCAACCCATTCAGTGTCTTGACCAGACTTGATGCTAATATCAGTGGACCGTGAGTCTAAGCTCAGTCTGGTTGTCCTGGATGAGGTTGGAAGCGACCACAAACCGATCCTCCACCGAATTTTGCTAACTACCACCAAGGCACGCCTCCGGAAGAGGCACTGGCAGTTTCGGAAAGCAAATTGGGTGAAGTACGAGACAGAGGTCGAAGCCAGACTGGCTGAGACCCATGCCAAAGAGCCGGTAGATCTAAATGTGGAGTATGAGTTCTTTGTAAGCACGATTCTCGATGTGGCAAAGAAAACAATACCGAGAACTAATGGAAAACAAAACTTCAGACCGTACTGGAACAAGACTCTGAAGGAGCTAGTGGAGAAAAGAGCAAAGGCGCGGAGGAGGGCTGCCAAGAAGAAAACACCTGCAACTCAAGCAGCGTACAACTCCTTGACGGCCCAAGTCCGTGCTGAAATCCAAAAAGCGAAAAAGTCTAAGTGGGTTGATATGTGTGAAAACCTCAACCTTTCGGACGGAAGGAAGGTCTGGCGATTACTTGATAATCTCTCTGGCATGGGGAAGAAGCGAAATATCCGCCCCCTAAAAACATCGGCCGGCACAGAGGCTAGCTGTGCCAAGCGCGCCAACCCGCTAAACAAACATTTTGCTCAGGTAAGCAAAAGTGCCAGAGACACTGACGAAAGCCGGGCCATCAAGAAACTCTGGAAGCAGAGCCCAACGAATGAGACCACACCAGGAGGTTTTCACGGCACCTTTTACAATAACTGAGTTGCAAACAGCACTGGGGAAATGCAAGGCAGGTAAAGCTCCAGGCCCCGATAAAGTCTGCAATGAAATGCTCAAGCGTTTGGGCAAGACCGGCAAAAGCGCATTGCTAGAATGTATCCAGAAAACCTGGACAGCAGGTAACCTGCCAAAGGTGTGGCAAAGAGCAGTGATTGTCCCAATTCCCAAAGAAGGCAAACTAAGTGACCAACTGTCTAGCTACAGGCCGATATCCCTCACATCGTGTGTTGGAAAAGTAGCAGAGCGAATGGCAAAAGCAAGACTGTATTGGTTCTTGGAACGAACCAAAAGCATTCCTACCAACCAAGGCGGCTTCCGCAAGGGGAGGCAGCATATGGATTTGGTAATTCAATTTATCCAAAGCACCACTAATGAGCTCCAGTTGAGAAATCACACCGTCGCGGTGTTCTTTGACCTCCAGAACGCCTACGATAAAGTCTGGAGGGCAGGTCTACTCTACAAGTTACAACTGCTCAGTAACACCCAACATGCACAAGTGGATTCATTCTTTTTTATCAAACCGTACGATATCCACTTGTGTAGGGGACAAGGTTTCGACCATGTGTGCACTCGAGGATGGACTCCCACAGGGGTCGGCCTTGAGCTGCACCTTGTTCCTGGCATATGTGTATGACCTGCAGTCACAGTTGGTAACAAAGAACACAATGTTCCCGGAGGATTTAGCGATTTGGAGCTCTGGCAAATCCATCCAGCAACTGCAGAACCGGCTGCAGAGTAATCTCACTAAGATACAGGATTACGCTAGGAAATGGAGATTGGTGGTGAATGCGGAAAAGACTGTGTATTCGTTTTTTACCAAAGGAAAGAATGCTCTGAAGGAGAACATTGACCTCCAAATCTGCGGGAAAAACCTCAAATGGGACAAATCACCCACGTACTTGGGCGTCAAGTTGGACCAGAAACTCCAACTTCACAATCATGTACGGGAACTCGGCGCTCGAGGCACGTCAAAACTCAGTCTGATCAATAAAATTTGCCAGCACCACCTGGGGGGCTGATGCAAAACTCCTAAGAACTCTTTACCTTGGGAACGTAAGAGGTGCCCTGGACTACACCTTGGCGGTCCTCCATTACCTGGACAGAGGTGGTCCTCCATTACCAGGACAGAGGCGGTCTCCATTACCTGGACAGAGGCGGTCCTCCGTTACCTGGTGGCCCTCCACTACCTGGACAGAGGTGGTCCTCCACTACCTGGACAGAGGTGGTCCTCAACTACCTGGACAGAGGCAGTCCTCCATTACCTGGACAGAGGTGGTCCTCCATTACCTGGACAGAGGTAGTCCTCCATTACCTGGACAGAGGCGGTCCTCCATTACCGGGACAGAGGCGGTCCTCCATTACAGAGGCGGTCCTCCATTACCTTGTGGTCCTCCATTACCTGGACAGAGGCGATCCTCCGTTACCAGATGGCCCTCCACTACCTGGACAGAGCTGGTCCTCCGCTACCTGGACAGAGGTGATCCTCCATTTCAAATCTAAGCAATCTTATGCAAACACCACCTTCAATGCTCACCATTACATTTTACAAAAAAATAAGACTTGACAGTGTCAAAACTGTTTTTGCAAATCCTCAAAACTATTTTCTAATATTATGTTAAGATTTAAGAATATTATAGCATTGTACCCAGGACTTTTTTTTTTACATAGGGTTTGTGTAAATGTAAATAAAAAAAATAATTAGACTTTTATCCAATGTACCGGAGTATTCAACATTTCACTAAGTTCAAATACCCTCATAAATAATACTCATGGATTTTTATTGTATTCAGATGCTTGTAATATCGATGCCAAATAAATTGTTGCTGTATTCTGTTGGTCGGGTATTTTACTCATTTCTCTAACACCCCAAACAAATCTGCCTTTGCTGGACTCTCAAGCGCATTCCACCTGGATTTTTTAATCTTTTTATCGAGCTCTTGGTTTTTTCTTGTACGGTAATTAGATCAAGAGCTGCCTAACTTCAATCATTGGCTTGCATAACAAATAAAGTTTATAAAAAGTGAGATTAACGTTGAAGTGGCCCAACTTTGGGTAATTTCTTGTACCGGTACCCTAGAATGGTTGCTTGTCATGGGTGAAGTTTCTTGTACAAGTTGATTGAGTAAAATGAGCAAGCCAAACAAAATAACAAGATTTTAAAAATATTTTTAATTATTAAATACAATTTATATATCATACAGTCAACAAGAAGGAAAGAGAGTTTTTAAAAATTCATAATTTTTCTCTCCCTCTCCAATCTCAGCACTTCACATTAATTATTTTCACAAGTCAACATCATTCAATTCAAAGTTTCCAATAAATACACCTTTACCAGCATGCTGTATAATAAACATTCATGAGTTATAATAAAATTAAAAAAATCAATAATTTAACAAAGTTGTCAAGGATATGTTTTGTTGCCAAACAGAATAAATGTAATTAAATCTCTTTTTAAAACCTTTTAATTTGAATGGTGTGCAAAAACAATCAGTTTTATGTTAGTTTTAAATCAATAAAAACTTAAAATGTATTGTAATTAAAATCTATTCAAGTTCAAGTAATGAATTACAAAAAATTATATTTCTAAAAAACACAAATAAATGGCAAATTTACATTGACTTAACTTGCTAAATTCTTTTAAATATGGCAAAAATAAGCTGAAAAAGATTGTTACCCAATATTTAATGAAAAATACTTTGGAATGAAACTGAACAAAAAGAAACTTAGCAAACTGCTAATGTAGTTTAAAAAAAATAACAGTCACAAGAATGTCAATTTATGAGATTTGAGAGTGAACTAGTTGACAAGATGACATAAAAAACTCGATGAATGCTTCCACATCCTTTTGTTTTTAATTTCTAGTGCTTTGTGAGGAACATGGTGTTTTCAATGGCCAAAAATTAAACATCAATTTACAAAATATAAATGATCAGTGTAAAAGCAAAATTAACTAAAAATAGATATGAATGTAAACATAACACATGGAGCTGTTAAAACAAGTTAACATAGAAAAATCAAATATCCTCTCAAATGCAAAGAAATGGAGATAAGCAAACTAATATCGAAACACACCAACAGATAAACTCAAATCAAACCTCTTACGAAACTCTTATGTATAGTTGTTTGAAAACTCACTCACGTGTCAAATATTCTTGCTTGGCCTAATGTTGTTTAAGGCTGCTTCTTTAATAAATTCTGTTTTTATAAAACCAATAGCCACTTAAAAACCTTAACCTTATCCATAACAATAATCCTAAAATTACTTGTTTGATATCAATGTTTTGCAGAACTTTCCACATTTAAAAGTGTAAAAATGGGAGAGATAATTGGTTACACTTTGCGTTGATCTACTTCTGTTTGGGGAACAAGTATGCACAGAAGAGACATTGTCATTTTATAATTTAGATTAAAAATTATTTTTGTTAATGTTGAAGTTGCCAATGAGTCTTTCACAGTATATCTTGGTGGCAACTAAAAAATAAATCACTTGCATCAATGATGAAAAAAGGTCACATAGATTGTAAATATCCATTATAAAATCAACATTATAGACAGATTTTAAGTACTCCCAAGTTGAAATTAAAGAGGTAACAAAAAAATTATCTAGGCATGATTAGAATAATTTGTTACCGAGTGGCTTTCAACCAGACCAGAAAATCTTTTTGCATTAATTAGGTTAATACGACAACAAGTTCTCACTTCACTGGCTGATTAAGGTAAGTATGAAAAAATATAATTATCGATGCGTTTTATAATTAGTGTGATCCATTAATTAAGATTTACCCAAAAAAATATGAGATTTAGAGGGCAGTTGTAATGTTTTAAGTCTTTATTGTAGTAATCGGGTGTTGTTTGTCCTATGTGGTGAGTAGTCAGTAATTATGAAGGATGTTCGGAAATATATTTTTGATTGATGTGTTGCTGAGATCGTGTAGGGTGGAATAAACGCATTTCGGGCCATGGGCAATGCTTGGATCAGGAGATCCCGGTGGTCCAAAGAATGTATTTGGGATGTGAAAAGTTTTAAGGAGATGGGCATGTTGTTTTTTCCCCCTTAATAATTCATCATGGTGCGGCCTGGCGCTTCTACTGAAATCCATTGGTGCGGCCCTGCACCATCTACTGAAACCCAATGAGACAAGTGTCTGCTCTTGCAAAAGGGATAGACCCTGGATGTCAATTTTCTCAGACCGCTCTCATTAAGTTCTTATGTTGCCTACTTGACGCCCAGTGACAGTAAATACGGCTCAATGCAGCGCCTCTGCTAGTTATTAAATTTTAATTAATATTCTTACAAGCTTCATAAAACAAAACCATGTCCAAAGGTAAAATAACAAGTGTTGACTTCATTTACAAAACTGAACAGTCTGGACTTAGGTCATGTGCAAAAATTATGGTCAACAGAATCATAAAGAAATTTTTTGGTAAAAGTAAATTCATTGTTTCACAGATCTTTTTAAATTCCACCTCACCTATTTTGAAGGAATACTTTCAATCCATAGAATATTTAAAATAAATGTGACTAAACCATATATAAATATTATCACAGCAGGCAACCATTCTTCACTGTTTCATCTAACACAATACAGGCTGATTTCAAGCTCACTCTAAATTGTTATAAACTTACCCAATGCTCATTACCATTATCTAAAGATAACCACACCTACTTGTGCTAAACAAAACTCAAATCCACACATTTTTTAACATGAAATATTTCATAGCTGTACTGACTTCATATGGTGTTTACAGTTGTGTCTTAGATGAAGCTCAACTGGTTACTATGTACATATTCACAAATTTTAAGGGATTTATTTAAAATATTATATGTTAAGATTGAACAAAAATAATAATTTTGATGTGTGCCAGGTGTTTTCAATAGAACTAAGAGACAAACATGTTAAAAAAAAAAAAAAAAGAATAAATAAAGGGGGATATGTCTGTCATGCTATGGCTTTATTTCATCATTGGATTCCAAAACCTACTAAGTAGGTACATCTAGTGCACTGGTTCTAATAAAAATAATAATTTTAATGTGTGCCAGTTGTTTTCAATAAAACTAAGAGACAAACATGTTAAAAAAAAAAAAAAGAATAAATAAAGGGGGATATGTCTGTCATGCTATGGCTTTATTTCATCATTGGATTCCAAAACCTACTAAGTAGGTACATCTAGTGCACTGGTTCTTAACCTGGGTTCGATCGAACCCAAGGGGTTCGGTGAGTCAGTCTCAGAGGTCCAAAAAAAAAAATCATATTTTATTTTTCCTATTAAGAAGGGTTCGGTGAATGCGCATATGAAACTGGTGGGGTTCGATACCTCCAAAAAGGTTAAGAACCACTGATCTAGTGTTACTGGTACTAGACAGAGCTTCAAAATGTTTGGTCTTATCATGTCTAAATATAATCTTTTGTTAAAATGAATCTTATACACGCAGACCTATTTTTTATTAGTATTATTAGGTTAATAGCTCCGTGGTTTTAGTTTTGGTTGCTGTAGCTTCTAATTTCAATTTGGATGTGAATTCAAATAAACATCTTTTCAAAATTGGATTTGCTTTAAATTTAAAATTTTTTTTAAATTTTATGTCCATTATTCTTTTGATTCATATGAATTTTTTTGTAATGATAATGGTCAGATGATTGACACCTATACATTACTCCGTTTTGGGTACCATTATACAGCTCTTTCAGTTTTTAAGCTCTTTCAGTTTTTAAGCTCTTTAGTTTTTAAACCCTGTTTTGTAAATTTTCTAACAATAAATCATTTATTTTAATTTAAAAATATTTGGGGAAAGGTTTAAATTGTGTCACACTCAGGATAAAAAATGGAGGTAAATAATATGATTACAATATCAAGTAAAAGTTAAGATGTTATGGATCAACTGAAATGGGGGGAAAACATTCACCCGCTACATTCAAATCTGGAGCATTTCAGGAAATATAATAATCTACCAACTATAAATCACCATATTAAAATAATTTGATACCGGGCATATAGCAATATAATATTATAATAATAAAGTCATATAATAGCAACACAATTATTTAGATTTTCAAGAATTTGAAAACTAATATCCTGATGGAAAAATCAACAAAATCTGGATTCCTTATTAAAAAATGGCGGAACAGTGGAAAGAAATGATATTTAAATAATTATATTTCAAAAGCATGCTTCCAATAATAAGGCATTTTATTGTAATACATGATTGAGGATTTAAGCGAAAAAGTAATAATACTTTTTTTAACATTGACATAGTTGAGTTCAACTTGTAATATCATAAATGATAAGAAAGAATGGAGCAATAGGGTCTGAGGGGCAAAAATTTAACTAGACACACTATGGCAGTACCTCTGAGTCTCTTTGTTTTCAGTAAATATTTTAGTGGCTAAAGACTATTGAAATTACTATTACACATCAGAAATCAAATTCAGCATATTTTGTCGATATCCACTTATTGAAACTAAATCTGTGAAAATGTAAAAAACTTTTAAAAATATGGCTGTAAATGTAAATTATAATGAATCTACTTTCAAATTTTATGTCTTCAGACGAGTTATTCATGACACATTTAAGACAACTGATTGACTCACATGATATAGGCGAGTCGTGCACATTGCAGAAGTGGTGTTAGAGACAAATGAATTGTATTATCTCTATGGCATCTCAACAGTAAACAAAATTAAATAAATTGTTAAAAATCCACACAAGATAAACTGAATTTTTAAAAAAAGCAACAACCAAGGATGAGAACCACCGTCTTACAATGTGCCTATAGACAGGAATGTTGGTGTTTGCAAATAGACAAAGCAAATAAAGTAATTTGTCAGTTGATTCTAATTATAAACCTGCAAAAACAGAAATAAGATGGCAGTGAACTTGCCTTAACTGTTAGAATAATGCTGGAATGTAAGGAACCATTCACAATGTCAATCTCCATTTAGAAAGAAAAAAAGAAACTTTGTCAAATGAACAATTCCTAAAATTGAAATGTACATTGAATCATAAAAAAAAAAAAATTAAGTCCAGAAAGAGTGCTATCACTGATCTCTCATTTTAAACCAAAGAAATGGCTGCATAAATCAACACATCTAAGTGTACATCTGAAGCAAAAGTTCACAACAATTCTTGAAAATCATTGCTTAATCTAAAGTCCAGTTAAATTATTGTTTTTAACCGTTTCTGCTGCAGCCATACATGTGGAAATTAAATCTCCTGCTGAAAATCAGTATCCCCGACAACTGCTTGCTGTCCTCATGTCATTCCGTGATGACATTCATAGTACAGCACAGTGTGATTCAACACCAAAAGGCATGTGTTTCAACACCAAACGGCATGTGTTTCAACACCAAACGGCATGTGTTAACCAAGCATGCCTGCAAAGTACACTGAACTGTGCAAGTCACTACCAGAAACTGAACAGCTTTGGCCTGAGATGTCTTACGGTGAAAATTTTTACATTCAGTGGCTGGACGAAAAATATATTCACCACATGATGGCTTGGTCACATTTAGAAAATGTATCTAGGCCATTTCTAAGAGCCTGTAGTTTGTTCAGCTGGCAGGGGTGCATCATATACGGGATTACAATATCTAAGCCACAAGGAATGTGAAAAAAATCTTATTTCCTTAATAAGATTACCATGTTTCCGATTGAGATGCCCTTGCAGCGTGGTCAGTAGCAATCCATTATTGGGACTGATTGTCTCCGAAAACCACAAATTTTGGACCGTAATAATTATTTTTGCAACAGGTACCGATTTTTTCAAGCCCAGGTTATATTCGGATATAATTTTAAGTCATGAAAATTTGAAATTTAGCAAATTATTTTTTTTTTGGTCAAGCACTATAAGGCAATCAAAATTTTGATACACCCTTGGAATATGGTGCCAAGGCTGCACGGCTGAAATGCACTGTTTATTATAAAAAATAGATGTAGTCCCTTAGATGGTGAAATGTTAGCAAATAACAATGGTGATAAAATACTTATGATACTATCATATGCAATTTGCGCCCAAACTTAAATTGACATATTTTTCAAAAGTTTGTCAGATATTCCTAAGTTGATTTAACACAATAAGATTGACATAAAAAAGTATTCACAACTAAATCTTAGATCATTTAATTTAAAATATATGAGACATGTTCCTCTATTTTTATTTCTACATAGATATTGTGCCCATGTATAAACTTAAATTACAGTTTAAAAAAACAAAAACAAAAAAACAACTGAAATCTCCTGTGGGTACTTACTAGCTAATTCTAAATTGTGGGGATGAGAAGGAGAGTACAAAATGCTATGTCTCCACCGATATAACTTTGAATTTATAATACGCACAGAAGAAAGACGCACAAATATTGTTCCATTTCAATTGCAACGCTCTTTAGTTAAAATGCACAAATTAATTGTAAAAAAAAAAACAACCCTCAAACATGGCATTATGAATTCTTCACAGAGAATGACTGAACAACAGAAACTTATCAATTATGTTGGTCATAAGCATAATCTTATCACAAATACTGCAAACTTGCTCATTGCCGACATATGGAGTTCGGCATATTAAATGTGACACATGCAAACCAGATTTTATCTGTGCTGAGCATAAATGGCTTTGTTAACAGCTAAATTGTTTTTTGGCATTTCTGAAGAGTATTGATCTGTATTCAGGATGAATTCTCAGCTTTAAGATTAGCTTCATAATTTTAGAACCTTAAAATAGTTGCCTTTGTTTTCTAATGCAAACATGTCATTGCGGTGCATTTATGAAAAGAAAGTATTTCTTTAAATTCCTTGGGGTATTTATTTACTTTAGTTAATGTAACAACTTGAATACACATTTTAAGTCCCAGCATATTAAATCATCATTATATTGTAATACTTCCATATTATAATTTGCCCCTGTAGTAATATTTTTGTCCCATATGTTATAAAACTTTATTTTAAAAATACTATTACAACAAGATGGCATGAGTCTCATTTGAAATCATCAACTGTTAAATTGTAGCATAGTCTCAAATGGTATTGAGCAAACCTGTGGGAGTTCATGTAGTCAAATATTAACATGTTTTTACTGACACTGCAACCCATATCAAGGCAAGAAATCATAAAATAGTGTGTAAAAATTTAAGTATTGACACAGCTTTCCGCAGGTGTACATCCCAGGTCTCCTTGATGGCATAACCTAAATAAAACCAATCGTCCGTGGAGTGTGTTGTGTATGTCTGGATCTCAACTCGTGGCTGGATGGGGAAATTGGGCTGGAACATTATGTAGATGACTTGTTGGTCCGTGCTCATCATGTTCTCCGACAAAAGTTTCTTGACGGCATTCATGTAGTCCTGTGTGTACACAAACATGACCTCAGGTCTCCCCAGAAACATCGCGCCACCAACCCAAGTTCTGTCTTCCACAATGATCTGATATGGTGACAAGGATGAGTCAAACTTGTGCTGCCCCGAGTAGGCTATCTTGTCTTGATCAAAGTCGGGTGGAAGCCTGATAGGGAAAATGTGTTTTTCATCTACAACTCCTCTGTATAAGCCGATATCCAACCAGCTGATGTATTTTGTATGAAACATTTTTTCTCTTATCACTTTATTCACAAGTTCAAATTTAGCGTGCATGACACAGGAATAGTTTTCATTCACAGTGTTAGGATCGTAAGAAGGATATCCTGTCTGTGAAAATATTTCTTTAATTTTAGGGGCTAGTGAAAAGGCCCAAAGGTTAGTTCTATTTAAAGGCACTATTATTGTCCGTTCCCTGCTGAAATGTGATCGAGACTGAGTGAAAATATCTACAATCTCTTGAGAATCGGTGAAAACTATGAGTGGATTATCAATTCTGCCAAATACTGACATCCAGCTTTTGTAACGTTCTGGAGTGTAGCCCCCAAGCCCAAATTTCTTTCCTTTATTTAGTTTACCCAGGTTGTAGTAGGCTGTGATAATGGTGATTTCACTGGATAATTGACCTGCTTCAGAAACCATCCTTTCATGAACTGCCTTGAGCTCAGGGTCTGTACCATAAAGATCATCAATTTTCTGAAATAGATAAAATATTATATTTCATAGAAAAATAATACTTTCTTTTTTAAAGATTGAACATTTGTCTTATTCGTAACAGATTTTGCAAACACATTCATAAAAAGTAAAGGTATCATTCATCATAAAATCATTATTACTCAAATAAATTTCATTTTACATAAGCTTCGTCAAAACCTTAATCTAATTTCGATGCACAATGATACTCAAAATAAAAGGAATAACCAGATTCCTCTATGGTTGTACAAATGGTTTCAAACAAATGTTTTTAAAATCTCTTTCCACTTCATGTGCTAATGCATGATGATGCTCCATTAGAATAAAACAGGAACTGAACCACTGTTCTAACACGTTGTTACTGTTACTATATAAATGTGTGGTGAAACAATTGTGGGTACCCAGTATTCAAAGTTTGATGTAAACATAACGCCTTATAGATTAATGAGACACAAATAATGTGTGTAAATAAAAAAAAAGCAATGTATGCTAAGCTTTAAATGGTTATATAAAATACAAATTTAAACTTTTCGGCAAATGTCTTCATCAGTACAATAAAAAACATTCAATAAGTATAAATTAAATTTACATAATATTTAAATATATCCTACCCATACCCAAAAATTAAAGAAAAGAATGGGCACAAGTCCCTAATGAAAACAAAGCTTAGAAGAATGGAAAGAATGGCTTATATGCTTTGGAAAAAGCATTATAGTTTCACAGTGATGATAGCTTACATCAGTATGAATAAATTTGAAACCTTTTGTGTACATCTGCATCTTATGGGCACTAAATGGGTTAAATTCAGGCCGAAGGGCACTTGCCCAAATGGTCATTGGATCTGAATGCTAATGGATTAAATGAGGAAACTTGTATTTAATGTACTGAGAGCAATAAAAAAATACCTTAGCTGGCCTCTCATTCCAGTCATTTACCTCCCATCTTAATCTCGCATCTGTGAATGATGAACCAGAAAACAAATTTTAATAACAGTTAATATTTTAAAATCATCACAATGTAGGTACTCAACAATCCAGCTAACCTCCCACCATGGGAATTAAGGAGGCAACAGCAGGCGCTCAAATGGCTAATTGTAGAAGAGGGTTAAAAACAACATAATCCTTATGAGTAATTTTGCCGCTTTTTAAAAGGATTTTTCAAATACTTTATTAAAATCTGTCACGCCAGAATCGTCCGAGCAGTTAGTCTCGAGTGGGTACCCAGTCGGAGCTTTATCTATGACATTTACATTTCCAAGTTTTAAAAGTGTTGTTGTCAAATAGTAATGTGTTTAATCATGATTCAATATTCTTTGACTTAATAAAAAGCAAAGGTACAGAACTGAAATCTATGTTGCATTAAATATATTTTTTTTAAATTTTGAAGGAATAAAGAAATTATTATAATCTGTAGAAAGATACCTACAATAAAAGCAATAAATGTAAAACACTGCTCCCAAAACTACCATCAAGATAATAAGACGCTGTATTTGTCGCTCTGAGTCCATCACACGTGTATGGCACCTGAATTTAAAAAAAAAACAACAGCATAACATTTTGTTATAATTAATAATTATGTCTGCTTGAAGCATAACTTAATAGAATAATCAAATCTGATCGTAGCATAATTTAAGAGAACAATATTAATTAATGAAGTCTGATTTGATAAAATATCAGCTTTTGAAATTAAAATAAAAGTCCTTACCACCACCCTCACTAAGGCTACATAATTTTCCTTCAAGAATGAGCTATAAAAAAAGACTTTTCTTTAGTTTCTTTAAGAAAACCAGCATAAAATGAGTGTAATTTTTACAATACTGCAAACAAAATATGTCAAACTTCTTTGAATCATGAAATTCACACATGTTTTGTAAACAAATTATTTGACAGAAAATTTTACTTGGGTGCACAATTATTCATCTTACTTTCTTAAAAAAGAACGGAAACGCATCTCCATGCTGTTTCCATTTCGATCCTCTCATTTGCTTCATATGCCAAGCCTAGCAAGAAAACGATATTCATCTAACCTAAAAAGGAACATTTCAAAATAAATTGGAACATGTAAAAATATGATTTATTATTGTTAAAATTTACTTAAAAATTTTTTGAGAGGGGTTAATGAATGAAACTATGCTATGGAGTTTAAATTAGATATGCTACACTACACAGGATATTTAGCAGATTATCTGGCTTTTTGGTCTCAGATATCGTTTTCAAGATGTTGAAAGTAAATGTAGATGGTTTAAAAGGAATCTTGAATTAATGTTTGGATGATAGTATCAAACTTGTATCCAAAAAGATTTCTGCAAGTCTCCAGGGTGCTTTAACATGAATTTTCCTTTTTTTTTTAAATTTTTTTTATCTGCCTTTTATCCTTAAGGATGATATCATATGAAAATCAAACTTCTTTCTGAGCTATGACAATTGCAGTTTTTTTAATGTATAGTTGTCCTGTTTACAACAGGTCACACCACAGGACCAGATTGTACACAAGGATTCATTTGTTAGCATAGGCTTATATTTTGTTAATATTATTACCCGTACTGTGCATCATGTGATCACCAGAATAGATTGTACAGTGTAGCCAAATAAATTAAGTAATGATGATTTTATTTTATTGTTTTTAGTGTTAAAGGGGGTGGGAGGGATAACATTTTAAATAACTAGGAAATTAATACATTAGGACACTAGTTTCCTAGGCACTACTTTCCTTGTCAACTACTGACTATTGTTGACACCTGGTTTATAGTTTATGTCATACTTTGATCAAAATTCAATGGCACAATTGTGGTCTCTCACTCCCTATATCTAGACCTAGAGACTATATAGGCTTGATAATTATGTATCGTGTAGACAAAGCATTTGGAAGGCTATAAAAATACGTTCAAATAATTGAGCCTATTACTTAGTAGGCCTCTTAGTATTAATTTTAGTTAAGCCTATTTGAATTGAGACAATATTGGGTAATCTACCACTTTAGCGTTGGTCGTTAAAAAATTGCGTTGTTCCGGTTTTAAGTGGTATTTAAACTGTTATTCTTTTATTGATGTCCATTAATAGTACAGTGGAGTGGGCCACTGGGTTTTCGGTGGCATAGAGACAGCGAGTTGGCACTGTTGTCTCGTTGAAGTGTTTGACAATATGCTATCATATTACAGGAGTGCATAAAGAGATGTTCATTCTTCGCATGCAAAGGTGGCTAAGGCAATTTTTTACTTGAGCAATAGCCTTGACTTGAGCTGTATTTTGCTTAAAGTGAAGGAGAGTTGCTCAATTCTTCAGCCTCAACTCTCATCCTTTCCTATTTGATCCCATCCAAGACTTAGTCAAGATAACTAGAAATAGACCAGGATGCAGTAGATGACCAGCAGTGTGTTTTTCACTGTGCTCTTTATGCGTTCTACATTGCAGGAATTTTCATTGTGTAAATGAGACATAACACCTACGGGGCTCCATCTCTGGGTTTAATTTCAGAGTTTGCCTTCTCTTAGATGAGTTGCTATCCAATGTTAACGAGTCCCATCTACCCGGGGTGCTGGTGATTTTTTGCTTGTCTAGGCATTTTCTGGGGATTAAACTCCAGTCAACTAGCTGCTTGGGACTGACTCTGTTTAGACCGCACATCCACCCAAAGTCGAGATATATCCTTTCAGGCTCACTTATTGTATGAGACAGATGGGCAGCTTATGCAAACATAAACCAGATAAGACATGAAATCTACTAACACTCTTTTGTTGTTCATCAACAAACTTTTTCATTCCAAATGACACTGGTGTCCACACACAGACTGTTGAAAATATGTGGATGCAGGCAAAGAGATAAATGAAAAGTAGTTTGGCACAAGCCGCAATCTTTTATTTTAAGATTTGCATGAGTTCACGTCCCGCAGTAGTTTTTGTGTAAAAAAAAGTTTTCATACATTAAAGTGTAAAAAAATGTTTTTTAAAAAATTACTTTTATATATTATGTTCTGAATTCAATATTTACAATTTTATAAAAAAAACATTTCCAATTATTTGGGTCAATAAAAGTATTTTATCTTATCAATATAAGAATAACAGTATATATAGCACTTCAGGCCAAAATAACCAATTCTCAAACCTTACTCAAGGTATAATTTACCCAATATTGAAAATAATATATGCATGATTTTCAAAGCATAATTTGAATAATATGTCTAATAAGTGCAGGTGATTAAATGGATTAAGTTAACCCTAGAAATGACTTTGTGGTGAATTTGTGCAAGTTTTCCAGATCCAGATTGGTTTAACCCTTCCATTACTGCTGGTTTTGGCATCGGTTTTTGCTGACTCAGCAATTAAAAAACTTCAACATGAAAACTTCTGGTATTATTACTATTATTTCATTCTCTTTCTGATTCACTTATTAACTTCTCTATAGATTAAGGCATAAAGAAATATGTAGTATTGAAATATGACGTTGACGTGACGTCCTTGGTATTTCAGAAAAGTTCTTTGCATCTTTGTTATGACGATTATGTGACATCCTTGGTAATTGAAAGTTGGTGATCGTGACGTTACGTCGAAGTCATCGGTAACGAAAAGGTTAACTTTAAACCAAATTAAACTTATAAGTTTTAGTGTTTACTACCTCTTTGCCCTCAAAATACATACTATACATGAGACTTGACAAGGAAACAAGTTTTTTTCCAAACTAAATGATAAATGACATCAAAAGTAAAATTGAATCAGTAGCCTACTGAGTGAGTAGGTCAGCAGACATTCATCCTATTCCTAAATCAAGTAATGTAGGCCAAACAATGGAATTCCATATCAGCCTAAATAATACATTAAATATCATTTCTTATCATTTCATAATGAATAAATCATAAATCAAAATGAGTGTGGTGCTGACTGACCTGACTATCAGTACTATCAGATGATGACAGATGTATATTGTATATAATTAACTCAGCGTATATATGCAGGTTTAAATCAATGTTCCCCCCAAAAACAGTAAATCTTCACAAGACATTCCTTTTTTAATTATTTACAAAAATAAAAATACTTTCTCATTCAATTTAGCTTATGGTCATAACCAAAACATCCTGAAGCTAAGGCTAAGGCATGTAGGGCCAAGCACTCGTCAATTCCGGATATGAGAATTAGTTCCCCGGAAAAGAAAAAATCTGCAAATCAAAAAGTAGAAGTTGAGAGAAGAAAAAAAAGAAAGAAAAAGAAAAATCAATGCAGAATAGTAAAAGCATTCTGGCATTTAATTGCCTGTATTATAAACTTATAGAATTAAATCTAAACTATTATTACTTTTTTTTAAATATATTTCACTTGAGTTTTCCAAAGCCAAATGTTTGCGATTAGGTTCAGTTTATAAAAGTAACAATGATAATAATAATAATAAACTTCATTTCAAAAACACCCTTCATCCCAAATTAATGTCCCCCATTGCCCTCGATCACGAAGCTTCATTGACCTACTTAAATATGCCTTTACCCGGGGCATAGGCCGTCTACAAGAATTTTCCATTCATTTCTGTCTAGTACTTACTTTTCGTTTCCAGATGCTTCCAGGTGTATCAAATACTGTGTGTATCTGCCTCTAGCACGCGTCCCATGTCTTCTTTGAATGTGCTCTTTTTTATGTATGAAATCCTTTATATTAACTTCGCCTTTGTTTGTAGCTGGCCGAGTGGCAAAATATTCAGACGGTTAATTGGCCCACTTCCCGTCAAGCTATCAAGCTGAAGCACTTAGACTCGTTGCCGATGTCAAAAAATTATTTCACATTTTCAATCTGTTTTTTTTTTTTTGTTGTTGTTTTTTTCTGTTTTTCAATGGGGAGCATAAAATCAAATCCCAGATAACTGCGTTAAACGAGATATAAAAATATCACAAATGTATTTGGTGCGTAATATTTTCTTTTGGTTTTCTAAAATTGCTGGTGAAATAAATCTGCAGTGTGAAAGTGGGTGGGTCATTACGATATTAATAGAGTTCAGTGGTATGAAAAAAAAATACGATTGCGGGCCTTGGGGGGTGGGGGCACTTATTGGGATTCTTATAAAGTACGTTACTTGTATGGATGTTTTGTCAAATTTTTATTTTTTTTTTCAATTTTTTCCCCCCCCCCCCCCCCCTCATTGCTCGATATTACATTTTATAAAGGATTTAAATGATTTTTTTTTAAAGGGCTGTTTAATCCCATGTGGATTCTATGTTAGGGATTATCTGGTGATGTTATCTGGTGGTTTGCGGACAGTGTGCCCTATTCACCTCCATCGTTTCCTTATGGTGTCTTCAGCAATAGGCTCCTGTTATGTTCTTTCCAATAAGTCTTTGTTGGTGATGGTATTTGGCCATTTGATATTCAGGGTCTTTCTAAGGCAAGTGTTTATGAAGGTCTGTACTTTCTGCGTAATGCTAGCTGTTGTTCTCCAAGTTACAGTAGGACAGTTTTGACATTTGAGTTGAAAATTCTGACTTAGGTTTGCCGAGTCAGCTCCTTTGACTCCCATATTTTCTTTAATAGCACAAATGCTGACCTAGCCTTTCCAATTCTAGCCCTGGCATCCGCTTCAGATCCACCATTTATGTCAATGGTGCTGCTTAATTATGTGAAGGCCTCCACTTCTTCCAGTGCATTTCCTGCCAGAGAGATACGATCTTGGTTGGCAGAGTTTACCTTCATGATGTTTGTCTTGCTTTTATTTATATAGAGTCCGAACAGTCCTAAAATGGTGGCTACATCTTTATTATTTTCCTGAATTTATTACTGGTTGTGGGACATGTGTGCAATGTCATCTGCAAAGTATCTGTCATTCAGTTGTTCCCAGGGCATCCCTTTCAACTTTTTGTCTGTGTAGTTTTTCTTTTTCATAATTCAATCAATGGTGGGATGAATATAAAGGGGGACAAGTGACATCCTTGTCTCCTGTTTCCACTTTAAAGGCATAATATGTGAGTCTACCTCCATGCAGGTTTTTTTCGGAGTGGGGGGGGGGGAGGGTGGGTGCAAAACCAAAACTTGGCTGGCTTGTTAGGTTGTTTATTACTGGAGGCGTCACAGTAAAAAGAGATTTAAATAAAAACCTGCAAATTCTCCGCCATACCCGAATGAGGTGCCTGCTTCCAGGTACCACCATGCATTTCATTTCTTCATAAGAACCCTGAATGACCCTGACTAGTTTTCCTGGCACCCCATAATGCAAGAGAAATTTCCACAGGATTAGTTGGCCCAGGCTAATATCAAAGGATATCTAAGTTAAATTAATATTTTGATTTGTTGATGACTTTTTTAAATGTTAAAAAGAAGAAAAACTTAAAGTAAAAAAAAAAAAAAAACTTTCTATCAAAGACGAGTTTAAACCCCATGAAAAGAGGGTCAATGAGCCGTCCGAAGATTTTGCCTTCCCACCAGCCACCCACGAACAAAAGTGAAATTTAAAATATTACCCGTGCTGATGCCTTCAGGTCCGAGTGACGATGACGACAGGATCAAACTTATTCTCGCATATCCTCCTCACAATCTCATAGCCAAGCGTATTTTCCTTAAAAAACCGTGACATTTTCCTCGCCGACCACGACGACATTTTCTCTTCCCCGCCTCTCAATTTTTTTCAGGCCATGAAAAATCTGCGAGACCAACTGGTGCGAATTCATATCAACGCTGACCCTCTCACTTTGGAGACAAGCCATGTGGATGCAGCTGTTGCAACATTTGCTCTTCCGTCATCCAGATTCAACACATTTCCTTCCCTATGGGCAGTTTTCAGATAAGGGACGGTTTCCTTGAGACTAGCTGCAACGTTGCCTATGCCATTGGTTGCACCCGCTGCCAGATGTCGTATGTAGTGAGACAGGACCAATGTTCCATTTAAGCTGCGCGGCCGCACAGCAATCTCACAGACGCCGCGCAGCAGTTTTGAGTACCGCGCAGCTAATTTCCACTTACGTGTGTGTTTGTGTCTGTAGGCTGTAAATTTTGCGCACAAAAAAATTGATGCTGTAAAAATGTGCACACTACTTTATGATTTTGCACACGAACCAACAAACCTTAGAGGGAACATCTGACAGGTGTACTGAACTACTGAACTGAACATCTTCGTAATATTGCGCAAGGTAAGCAGTGCTCCGCAGAAACATAGAGATATATTGTAGCTCTGTGAGTGTTCCGTCATTAAACACTTTAATAGAAGCGACCACGTGGGCTCTGCGGATTTTACAAATCAGTGCTATCGTGACCTGTAGTAACACACCAAACCTGGTGAATTAGGAAAATAAGCTGATGCAGACTTGCGGCACATTGACACCCCATTGCCTCAATGTCATGTTCTCATTCACCCGTTAAACCTTCCCCCCTCCTTCCGTTACGACCAATCGCAGTGGACTTACTTTTCCTCTTTTCCCGCCCCCCCCCCCCCCCTTTTCACC